AGTGCCTAGATGCGTGACTGTTCAGGAATATCAAAGTTGGCTGGAAAGCATAGAGTCGGAAGAGAGTTCCGCAAATGAAAAAAGAAACTGTTAGCATCAAACTTACATTTAGCCAACTCAACTGTATATCGGTGAGACCTCGTTTGGTTCGGAAGGAAAATCCCAACACTGGAAAGAGCAATAACAGCTACTGGATTTGAGAAAACTATTTTCCTGAAAAGTTTTTTAAGAGAAAAAATTTTATAAATTCTAACCGAGCGCATTACCGTCTTCTCAGCTAATGGATGCCAAATGTTTCCTTGTAAGGAAACAACTTATATTTCCATTACCACTACCATAGTTAATTGTGACCGTTCTGTTCAGTTGTTATTTTTTTGTTTGATTTCATTCAATCGTTTTTTCTTCCGCATTCTTTTTCATTCATTTGAAGTCATTCCGATATAGCGAGGGCGTTTAATGTATCATCATACGCACATACGCTTAGGTCTGACCATCCTTTTAACGGGGAAACCGAACGCGGAAGCGTCGCTAAAAGGTGGTACGTATATAGTTATGACTGCGTGAGTTTGCTTCTGTGTAGATATGCCCCGTGTGAACTGGTACGGCTCTGTCATTCTGTTATCGTGTGTGTATGTAGCAGGGGGTTATTGTATGAGGGAGGGTGGGTCGTACCATCCTGACTGCATCTGGCTGGACGTCCCGCGTTTCGCAGCGAGGACTTCCGCCGGTAGTAATAACAACACGCTATGACCGACTTGACCCTTGGCCCAGGCCCCTGCTAAGGAGTTAACCCCACAATCACGTGCCTCATTGATTTTCTTAATGTGTCTGCCCAGTGTACATAACATCATCCTTCGGTGCAAAAACGTATGGGCATTCTAACTACTTAATATATACAGTACATTAACAAAAATAAAAAAAAGGTAAAATAAATAAAAAAAAAGAAAAGATAGACAAAGATGAAAACGAATTAAATAGAAATACAGATAAAAAGAATAAAGAATAAAATATAGATAAAAAAATAAAAAATAAATAGTTTAAGCGCAGTACTAGATTGACGGCATGGTCTCATCATTTTACAGTTGAAATGACTGAATGTAACTGTAAGTTCTATTAGGCCTGGGTATGACGATAAACTACATCCGGCAGCAAGGCCTCTGATCGAGAAATTGGAGGTTTTGAGGAGGGTGTAACCACCTTTTAATTGCTGTTGTTTCCAGGTCCACCATGTTAGGGTCCCAGCTATGGGCAAATTAGAAAAATACCAACAATACATTTTATCTGTAACTAAGCCTTAAAATAGTTAAAAATATTTAGATTTTGGCATTAAATAAACCCATAGAGGTATTGATATGCTCCTAAACAAAACCAACTAACCAACCGTAAATTCTATGCTAACACTTTATTTTCTCGCACTTTTCGCTTGTGAACTCTTTCCCGGCTTCATTCTTTCCAGTCAATTTTGATCTTCAAAAATTTAAATTTAATGTTCATCGTCATCGTCTATCTTTATTTTTTATCGTCTGCCTGTTTATGTTCTTTTATTGTCCTCTCGCCTTAATAATGTCCTTTTTCTCAAATTTTCTCACATTTTGTCACCCTTTACGTCTTAGTGGCTTTATTGCCTTGTTTGGGATGAAATAATTTTTTAAAAAATGACATTAAGAAGAAAAATAGAAAAACGTAAAATGATGCATAATAGGAAAGACAGAAATAAACCAAACGGAAGAGTAATGGAAGTATTTGTGCTAATATGAAAGTTCCTCGTTACAAACAAAAGAAATTAGAAACAATGTAGAAATCATACAAATTGTGATGTTATTCTCGATCACAGTCATAAATTAATACCGTCTTAAATTTAAATTCGATGAGATAATACTATTTATAGGTTATAAAAATGATTGATCGTTCATTGATTAGACGATTTTTAAAATAAGCAACTCATTTATAAGAAATTCTACTCAAAATTGACTAAATCGGAAGCATCTTTAGTATTAACATCTATATGGACTAAGAAATTAAAAAAAAAGAATAGGAAAACGTAAAATGAAGCATAATAGGAAAGAAAAACTGAGTCAATACTTGAAAGAGCGAAAACAGCTACTGGACTTGAGAAATTTATTTTTCTGAAAAATTGTTTTAAGAGGAAGATTTTATAAATTTCAACCAACAGTAGTTTTATAACTTATTCAATAATTAAACACAGTGGCACCGGAACATCTAAGCCACATGCATGTTACGGGAAGAGAATTAGTTATTTTTATAATATAGATTAGGTTATATCTATGTCTATAATTCTCAAAATGTGTGTGTGTGTGTGTGTGTGTGTGTGTGTGTGTGTGTGTGTGTGTGTGTGTGTGTGTGTGTGTGTGTGTGTGTGTGTGTGTGTGTGTGTGTGTGTGTGCGTGTGTGTGTGTGTGTGTGATCGGAGGCTGTTTATGTGTTTCCACAGTTTTCATCCAATTTCAATGAATTTTTTTTTTGTGTCATAGATAATTCTTCTGTGCCGGTTTTGAGTCCAGATTCTCTAGAAAAAATTACAACCGTGAAAAATCGAAAAAACTGATTTTTTACACTTTGCGCAAAAATCAAACGCAAAATTTTATGTCTGCAAGAAAAAAAAAAACGTACTATCAGTTTAGAGAGTTGGAATCTGGCGCAAAAGATTATTAAAATTATAAAAAAAAATATTTTTAAGTAAGAATTATCGTATATTATTATTATGACGGTCCATAGAAGAGGTTCCTTCCTTGCAAGATTGAGAACGCAAAAACGACCCTTTTCAGGGCCATCCCCGATTCAAATTGTTACCTCCCCCCATTTGGGGATGTGCCCCAGTTGCACCAAATTGTTGTTACTAATATTGATTTCTGGGTGGGCTGACTTTAAACTTAAACTGCTCCAACAGAACGGCAAAAATTCCGAGTAATGAAACACCCAGTCGAAGACGGGTTATACCACTAGTTAGATGATATATCGACGATCAGATGGTATTCGATAATAGTCTAATTGCTTATTAGGTCATACTAAATTATAAATTACTATGTTACGTTGTTATATAAGATGATAATCTTGCAGATTATTAACTTAGATTATCCCCTTATGGATTACAAGCATATATTAGAGTACTGTCGAATATATTACAAAAGTTTTAGATTAGTTTTAGAAGGTTGTTTTTTTTTTGTTTTGTTTTACGGCATATCAACCTCAATGGGTTATTTAATGCCAACAAGAATTTTTTAAAATGTATTGCTGATTACATATATATTTTTCAAAAGTTTATTGCTTGTAATATTTTTTCAAAAAATGTATTGCTGTTATTAAAACCTATTTTTACATTTTCATAGTGTTTTGCCCCCTGTTAGGGGTTAACTCTTTCCCATAGCTAGGTCCCGTAACAGGTTCTACCACCTCAGATCAGGGTGGACCTAGGAACACCAACAATTAAATGGTGGTTCCACGCTTCTCAAAACATCCTGATCAGTGGCCTTGATGCCGGATGTTTACCGTCATACTCAGGACGCGGATGTAGTTTATCGTCATACCCAGGACGTTAGCTCGGACATTTATGAGTCTATCATGCCAACCCTCATGGTCCTGTATCGAGGTCATTGGGGTGACATTCTATGACATGGCTAACTGTTCAGAGCAGTAGATTTCACGCAATGTTTTGCTTTGCATGGCGCATTCTGGGTTCGTGCAGGATTGTAGAAATATCAGGGACATAGAGTCGGGACATCTCAATAATATTTTCAGCTCCACTCTGCTCAAAGACAGCGATACAGTTGAGAGATTAAATGTAGTTTGTCTGCCCGAAAGTAGGTGCTCCATTTTGATGGCAGCCTGAAGGCCCGTTTTCTTGTTTGATTATCTGGTTTTCATTTGAATAATTCTCAAAAGATTTTGTTGGATGCAGTGCATTCGAAATAAATTTATTAAAATATTGTTTATTTTTGTTTACCGTTCGCAATTTTTTTTTTCAATTCGTTTAGCAGTATATCCACCCCTATGGGTTATATAATGCTGGAATATAAATAATTTGAACACAATTTTATGCCTTTAGCTAAATATATTTTGAACGCAGTTGTATACCTTCAGTTACTGATAAAATATATTGCTAGTCATTTTTATATAAAAATCTATTTTCTGGTATTTTTACTGTAATTTTTTTATACTTTCATAGTGTTTTGTTTTTGTTTAGGGTTTAAGTATTTGCACACAGCTAGGACCCTAAGAGGACCCCCCCGAGTAAGGGTGGGCCTAGGAACAACAGCAATTGTGAGGTGGTTCAACGATCATTAATACATTCAATCTCACGATCAGAGGATTGCTGCCGGATGTAGATTATCGTCATACCCAGGACTTTTTAAAGTTTACTTAGTCACGCAAAAACATTTTTTACTAGACGATACTACTACTATGGACGACTAGTACATATGTCAACTGCAAACATGTAAATATTAATCATTCCCAAAGTAGCAATGTCGAATAAATTTCTGCAATGGAAAAAATTAATACAGGAAATGGCGAGCATTAGTTCTAGAAATTTATTTTCAGATTATAGGACCCCTTCTAAATTTCGGTCTGTTAGAGAAACAGTTAATTGAATGAACCAAACGACCATGTAATGTTTAAAAATGAATGTCCAACTCCATAGAATAAGGACACCGCCCATGCATGAATTTATGCATGGAAGTTTCGCATGTACTACTGTTGATTATATCTCAAAACTTCTAGAACATGACTGATCATAGAAGCTTGACTTCCGGTTAAAAATGAGAGGCTTTAAATCCTTTTATTTGATATATATATATATATATATATATATATATATATATATATATATATATATATATATATATATATGTATGTGTGTGTGTGTGTGTGTGTGTGTGTGGAGATAGATAATTCGCAGAATAAGAGAGATAGATAATTAACAAATTGAGATAGATAGATACTTAACAGAATGAGACAGATAGATATATAGATAATTAACAGAATTAGATATACAGACGATATATAGATAGATAATGAGCAGAATAAGACGATAGATAGATAGATAACAGAATTAGATAGATAGATAGATAGATAGATAGATAGATAGATAGATAGATAGATAGATAGATAGATAATGGACAGAATAATATAGATTGATAATGAGCAGAATAAGATAGATAGATTTGTAGTTTAAAAACCATAATTCGAATTTGCTAACCCGTAGCTGAATGGTATAGGTCCTCAGGCTATATGACGGTTCCGTGTGGGATACAAGTCTGTTTCCTGTCGGAGGACGCATATTTTCTATGAAATATAAACTATACATTTACTTAAATATTTGTTTCCATTAAAGTAACGCATAAACATATAATATATTAAAATAATTGGCTGACTTAGTCCATTCCATTATATATATATATATATATATATATATATATATATATATATATTACGAAGAACTTGGTAAACCGAATGGGTAATTCCAAGGAGGATGAAATCCTGAGAGCTCAATGTGAATACAGAGCTAATATTTAATGAAAAAACAGACCACTTTAAGGTACCATTACAATAATTTATTTCACCCAAATCCTTTTTAAAGGACTCCGGATCATCAGGTAACACTTCCAACAACGAAATGAAAGGAAAAATGGGATTAGAAATTGATGGGTAGTGTAATTTTTGTAATTTAACAGGGAGGGTGATAGTTGTAATTAACCCCTCCCTATACTCTACCTTGTCTCGTTAACTACAACTATCACCCTCCCTGTTAAATTATATATATATATATATATATATATATATATATATATATATATATATATATATATGTATATAAAATTTAGCCCACAAATGAACTGTTTTTTTTTAATTCTAACTGTAAGTTTCGTTTATGTTTCAGTTTTCCTTCAAAACTCTTTTTTGTCACATGACTAATATAATTGCTCAATAAGTGTGGCCATGTGTCAGATTAATTCAACCTTTATAAATGGGATGAGGAGTTATCACCAATTACATTATTTACATTCAGATTAATGTCCTCATTTTTTGTTGTTGTTTCTATCCCAACATTTCGATCGTTGTGCCCTCCGGCCTTATTTAGCTGTCTGTCAATGTGGGTAATCTTCAAAAAATTTCGAAATGAGTCTTTTATTTAATCTACCAGGGATAGATTATTTTCATTCCGCTGTTGTTATTGTCGTTCCCTTCCCATTAATATACGACCTGTCTATTACAATTTAACACCTGTTGTTTCCTTAACTGATACTGAAAGAATGGGGGATATGAAAATCGTAAAAATAAATATATACCGTATATTTCCGAGTATAAGGCAACGTTTCGATAAGACGAGGTCAAAAAATATAGCAAACTTTCATAAATTTATCCTGTATCTATCGAATAAGAAGAATACTTATTGATTATATATATATATATATATATATATATATATATATTGGAAATGTTGTTACTTACTGTATCCTGTCTAAAATAAACGAGGTAACAAAACCGATTCTATATCATGTTTTTCTACAGACGTCCCCTAAAAGGGAAACAATTGTTTTGTTTGTGTTTCTTCACGTGATCTTTTACGAATACTGATTCTTCTTCCTCTTCTTTTCTTATATCTAAACAGTTACAAACAACCTGGGGTACTATTTTTTTATTTATTTAGTCTCTTCCTAATTTCTGTCTTTGCCAGTTGAAATTCCTTATTAACTTATGCCCATATCATGTCCGTGTAGCAGAGACTTCGTAAATCACACATACAACAATAGTAACGCCTTCGAACAATACTCGGTTAGACGCTAATTCCCATATATATATATTTTTCCTTTACCTGTCACGTGATCTAATTATTTCTAGACGAGGTCGACTGTGCTTGCTCTCTGGCGATCCGTGTTCAAACTCAAGTGTCGGCAGTGACACTTTATTCTTACATGGCATCAATCATGGAACCAGAAATAAAATAAGATTCTATGCCCTAAAATAGACTGTTAAATCAACTACCGTAAAAGGATATTTATTTTTGAAAATAAAGGTTGTATGTAATATTAAATTGTGTTATTATTTATCACCAAAATGATAATGTATTTTTAATGAGAAATGAATATTATATTATCCTAAATGTTATTACTGCTGTAATTAACACTACTATGATGATTATTGAAAGATAAAGGTGGCTGTGAACGCAATCATGACTCAATGTTTACATTTTCTCATCTGAGCTAGCATAGATACAAGTTTACTTCATTGATATAGAATTATTATTCGAATAGGCAATTTATTATGAAGTTATGCCAGTAATATATTAGATAGAAATGGTTTTATTACTTTTATTATCAGTTTATTTGATAATGTGAATTTTTTCATGTACGTTATTGATTATCGCACCTAGGCCCAGATTAGCCTACCGACAAACATCACTAAGAATTTAAGGTTTCGTTTTGAAAATTGTACTATAAGACGACCCTCAATTTTTAAGTATGATTTTTTGGATACTTATATACGTAAATATATGGTATATATATAAACTAGCAGCATGGCCCGGCGTTGCCCGTGCTTGATTCAAAAATCGTACGACTCATACAGCAATCGCTATCACTTGACTTAAAATATTTTGCCCTTCTTTGCCTTTAAATTAGTGACCTTTGCCATGCTGATGTTACATGCCTTACTTCTTGCCTATCTCACACTGCGAATTTTTTCTAAGCTCTATACTAAACATTAAATCTGTTACGAAAAAAGAACTAAACAAAATGAACACAAAACGATCAGCTTTAAAAAAAGGACTCGTAACTGGAAAAACCGAATGAAAAAAAAATGTTAACAACAAATAATTTTCACACCCAACCCAGTTCTACGGTATCAGAATCGACTGTTTTGAGTTTAAGCAAGCGAATGGGCCAACTGGAGTAAAGTGCCATGCAGATTTAAATTTTTCCCACTTGTGACAAATGCAGCTATCGATTTTTTTTGCATGCTAGCATGCTAGTTAACATTCGTGTCAGTCTGTTGTTGGCTCTCACGCTGGCCAATAGAATCTTCCTGCCTATTCATGGCAGCCAGCTAAAGGCTTTCACTCTGGCCAGTACGAAAACTACATGAAAACTGCCGTAGAAGCATGAAAAAATCGGTTATTTCCACTATCGATGGGAGTTCGGAAATGCAAAGTCAGTCTTGGCCTTTCCACTAAATTGGAGCATGTGCGTGTAGATTTTGGTGCAAATCCGTCGAAAATTGTCGTTGTGCATTCGTTACACACACACACACACACACACACACACACACACACACACACACACACACACACACACACACACACACACACACACACACACACACACATATCCTGCCTTTTATAGATAGAGATAAATAAAAATAAAAAATGAGTTTAAATTAGCTAAGATCTAAATTCTTTAGCGATACACTTAAAATAAAAATACAATATTAAGCCGTTTAATATGAATTGTTTCAGCAATGTAGATTTTTTCTTAAGATAAAATTATTTTTCTGATGACGCTAACTCATCTGCGAAACATGAGAAAGTAAGTTTGCCTAATTGCCAAACAGTCTTACACACACACACACACACGCGCACACACACGCGCGCGCGCGCACACACACACATATATATATGTATATATGCCAGATTTGCCACTTCGACGTGGTGTAATGCTAGCAAGCTTGTCTCGCTAGATCAATTACGACTAAATAGTGAGTTCGATCTCCACTGGTCGTTTTTATTAAGATAAAATTATTTTTCCGATGACGCCAGCTCATCTGAGAAAAATGTAGAAACAAAGTATTTTTTTCTTTAATTGATAAGCACACGCATTCTCTCTCCCACCTCTCCCTCACACACACACACAAATATATATATATATATATATATATATATATATATATATATACTTTCTGTCTCGTGCTACTTTTAAGCCACGCTTAGAAAATCATTGTTGCCCCATACTATTGGCTTTGTGTCACATTTAAGCTACGTTTAGAAAGTCATCATGAAAAAGTCAGTTAGAAAAACATATACAGGGTGCGGCTGAAAAACCTCCCACATTTTAAAGGTTGACAAAAAGAACTAGAACTATTAAAAAAATATTGTTTAAGAAAGGGGTACTGTTTTTATTCATTTGCTTATAAAAATGGCATCCCCCCCCCAAATGGTGGCCTCTAAACAATTTCGAAAGTTTTCCATCACCCGGAAAATTTGTGAGCTTCGAATTCTTCGAGGTTAACTGAGCAGAACTCTGAAAAGTTAAGCCCATCGCAGTATCAATTTTCAAACCGGGACAGCATCATTCCCACATAATATGAAATGAGCACGAAAAGATGTCTGTGTTGCATTTGCAAATTCACCAGTCTTAAAAAAAAACGTTTAAACAGAAAACGCATGATGTGCAGCGGACTAACTGATTATGGTAACTGAAAAAAATGGTTAGACATTAACTTGATGAAGACACCATTGCCACTTACTTAACTTCACTAACATCACACAGGTGAGAGTTTGAAATGTGGGAGCTAATTTTGTCACACCCTGTATATATACATATATTTCCTGTTACAAAAAAGTTAGTTTTAGTGAGCATAAGTGTTTGAGTTGTTAACCATATTTTTTTTTCATTTTCAAACAGTGATATTAATAACAACTAGCCTAGATCGGGAAGTCTTACTAAAGCAAAAGTGTACCTCGTGATTGTGAGTTAACCTGTAACATTCTTTTAGAAGCTGTTTCCCTGGTCTAAAAATGGATACAGGTTCGATTCCTGTCGAGAGTCCTAATTTTCCTTTGACTTCTCGATCGAGGCTGGTTATTATTCATTTCACTGATTGAGAAAATAAAAAAAATAGCAATTCAAAACACGTGTCGCCACTAAAAATAACGTTTATTGTAATAAGACATATTGTCATATTTACGAAAACTATTAAGAAATTACACCATGTTTATATATATATATATATATATATATATATATATATATATGTGCGTGTGTGTGTATGTGTATGTTCTTAATTAATTCCTGATACCTCCTGACGACTGAACAGAACCATTACAAAATGTTTCGTCTTCGAAACTCAAGAGTCGAGGTGCTGAATATAACATTAATCAGCTAAGTGATGAATTTTATTTGTATTAGTCCTATATAATACAATCCATGGAAAACAATATTTGTCTATATTTCTGAGATGAGGTATTATCTACACTATT